CTGGTAGTGCGACCGAAAGATGGACTGAACAGCGCCTTCCTCCTCAGTTTTTCGCTACACTCCACGTGCGCAGATATAGCCAGCGAGGAAAAGATTCAACTAAGGTGCCGATCTTTCTCCATGAGCGCGACCACTCTGGGAACAGCTACGGCGACACCGTCGGGCGCTGCCTGTGCACGTGCCTTCAAACCGCGCTGCTGCAGTGGCTCTCCCGGCTACCTTCGTGGAATACTCAGAGTGACGCAGTGAAGAAAAAGTGGAGGCGCTAGAATGGGTCCTTCATTTCAGCAGTCGCAGATGCTGCGACGACTGTCCCGCGAGGCAGGGAGGGCAGCAACTGTTCCATCCATGCCGCACGAGCTTGGAGTTTCTTCCTGGAAGTTGAAATATTTTAATCAAATTCAACTGCTTCGATTAATTATCTTAAGTGCACCAAAGAAGGGCAACTTAGTTGGCTCGATCGATCGACGTTCCGGCCGGCGAGCTGCAGAAGTTGGCCGCAGGTCCACCTTGCTGTTTCAGGTCACACAGGGAAAGCTTGTTTCCGAAAATCCGGCCGTCTGCTCAAATGGAGACTAAAACCTGCTCATATTTGTATTGATTTCAGGACAGAGAAATTTTAGTGGCTTCATCCACGCAAATTCAGCTCCATAATGAGACGAAACTGTCGCCCCCCTGCATGCGACCAGCATAGCTCATCTCAAGCTGCAGTCGTTAATAGTTACATCCGGTTTTAACTATGCAGTAACTAACCAAAAATAGCTTATCTTTCACGCTGTAGCCTTAGTCTCACGGAAGGATCCGTGCTTAGGCCGCAGCGCTGCCTGTGGCAGACCGGAGGAACGGGGGGCTTGTTGATGCTGCCTGGTACTTCAGTACGTGCATCTCCTTGCGCTTAACAGAAGAGTTAGGCAAGAGATGAAATGTTTTCGCGAGGCGATCTTTATTCATGTTATTGCTTTCATGGAACTCCCCTAGCAAGCTTGGGGCCCTGTTTACCGTTGCCCTCGTGCAGCAGACCTGCAGTTTCGTCTTTTTCGCCCTTGCGCAATGCATCGCATAAAGTAATGCACATGGTGCCTAAGAAACGAGTATGACACGATGCGGACTTCTTTCTTCGTAGGGCCTTCCTGCGCCCGGAAGATTGCTGGGCTCAATCCCGTTGCAGGGATCGCAGGAATTCAAGTTCCTCGTTGCCGCTCACTGAACAGCTGCCAAAAACTTGCTTTGCGCTCTGATAGCGCATTCATATCGAGCTCTTGCTCATGTTTTAACTGTTCGCTTTTATTCCGCGCCTCTTTGGCTGCAGCCGAAAGTCCACGCCGGTGGCCGTCGGCTGCGAATCGGGCGCCATCGTTCATGTTTTCAGGAACAACAGGGATAACCCACGAAAAGGAAAGCCTTTCCGCATGCAGCTTCAAAGAACTGCCGAGACCGTCACTTGCTGCTGCTTTCCCTCCATTTCGGTCGCTGCATTCCATCGCGACGAGCCTGAGCAGCCAAGCAGCAGCTGCGGCGCCCTCGCCACGCGCGAATTCCTCCGGATCCAGCGCTGCAGCAGCTCCTGACGCAGCTTCCAGCCCTCCAGTCGACTCTAAGGAAACAGTTGAACCGCAGGAGTCTGTTTTAGCACTCAAAGGCGAGGAAAACTACAGCGCTGATCCGCCGGAGGGCTCTTACGCACACGAGCTGCTCGAGCACATTCAAAGAGTTGTGAGTCAAAACCGCCTCGGCGTTTTACGTCAGACTACAAGTTTATTTCAGGGAAAGTACGTAATTATGCCTTTTTTGTGAATGGACTTTGCTCCAGAGCGAAATAGTCAGCAGCTCCCAAATTTCCAATTTCTTCTGAGCTGCAGAATGAAACCAGCACAGGAGCGAATGCCGTTACTGAGACAGTGACGCCGTCTGGATGGTTTGTGGACTGGTTAATAGCCTTGAAATTAAGCCTTGGAATTCCGTGGTGAGTTTACCTTGCCAAAAGAATATCATTAATGGCACTGGCAGAAGCATTTAGACTGCCCCTTTAGGCCTCAGTGCGAAATTCTCAAAGCTCGCAACATGCTGCACATAAAATTGCGGCTTTTCATGCGCCTGTTTGGTAGTTGCGTCTGAGACATGCAGGTGTTTGGCTCTTCCCGCTGCTGGGTGTTTGCTACGGCTCTTGACGCTGCCAATCGCCGTTGACTCTGTGCGTGTTCAGTTCCGTAGTGCTCCAGCGCCGCGCGAGTGTCCAGTGGTCAGCACAGGGTTGCAGAGATTGAGGAAGTGCTGCTAATAACTGTTTCAAGTTTTTATTGTTATGCTGCCTTTGGATGAACAGGAAAGAGATAGGCGGCAACGGCAGCTCGTCGACCCGCAGTTTTCGCGCATGAAGGACAAAATGAAGGCTGCTTACGAAAGCGGGGTACATTTCATTCTGCTTCATTTCTTAGAAAGTGCATGTTGCGAAGTTCGAGTCTGCAGATTTAAAGGTCAACGATTCAACGCAAACGTACTAACCAGCTCTCTCGATTGGCCAGTGTTGCAGCTGGCGAGGAGGCCTGCGAAACTTCATCTGCACTTTCCCTTCTTGTTAAGATTGTAACTTTTATTCCAGCGTGCATTTTCACGTTTTATTTGGGCACACAATTGTGATTCCGCTTCAGCTCTCCACCAATGCTGCCTCTTTCGGCATGTTTGGACTTGTGTTCTGGCGTGGCTCACAGTGGCGCTTCTGTGACAGCCAGCAGCAGTAGCAGTAGCCAATTTGTTTTGTTTTTCTGCCGTTTGTGCAGGACACAAAAGAGTATCAGCGTCTGCGCTCTGAGACGAAGCAGTTTCTGAAGCAGCACGGAATTGGGGTGTTGCCCACATCGTTTTTGCAGATGTTGCTGCTGGGCCTGGCCATCTCGCTTTCGACCCCGGCTATTAGGTGCTTAGAAAGCGGCAAATTAGCTGCTGCTGAGTAGTCAGGAATAGAAAGCAGAAGGAACCTACCTGAATTCGGCTTTATCCCGAGGCTTTTTCCGTGTTTGCTGCAGAGCCATCTCGGCGGACCCTTTCAACTGGAAAAGCTTCGCTGTGGAGCAGCCGGCGTGGCTGGAGAGTTTGGCGTTGCCAGATGCTTCTGGGCTCACAGCTGCAGTCTGTTGGCTGGTGTTTGTCTCGACTATGGCGGTGCGCATTTGCGCACTCTTTATTCGCCTTTTTCCACTCTTTCTTTTCGCTTTTTGTATGCCTGGTGGTGCAGCACATAGTGATAGGCGAGTGCACTTTAGAAATAAAAAGAAAGAAAACAATTAGCCCTTTAAATCGCGCAAAGCTGCGCCTCACCCTTCGCCAGATGTTCTGCTCCATTCAGCAGGAGGGCTGATAGGCAGGTAGTTGAAACGCGCGGGCGCAGAGCTCGTAAGGGTAATTTCATAAGAAATTAAATATAAATAAAGGCAAGAGTGCGTAAGAGCGTGTCCTTGGACTTGTGTTCTTTTTATTTCTTGTTCGTTTCTGCTTTTTGCGTCAGGCCGGGTGGATGGTCTCTGCGAAAATCCAGAAACGATGCCCCTCGCCTCCAGCATCTTCAGGCTTCTCCTCTCCCAGCGTAATGCGCGGCTTTGGCCTCGTGGCTGCGACCACTTTCGCTTTCTACAGTGGCACGCAGTTGCCTGCGGTGAGGAGGCTTGCTCCCCCTTGCCGCGTTGCATCTTGCGGATGATTTGTCTCAACTAGCCGCATAATTTAATATTTAATTTTTGTTTTTATGTTTATTGACCTCTGAGGGCCCGCACAGGTCCCGCTGCAGCTTCTTGCGAGAAACCGAAGTTGCGCCACTGGAGCTGTTGGGGGCCTTTGGGATCTGCAATTCGAAATTCACTTTCGCTCCAACTGACTCGATCTTATTATTATATTTGTTGCTTCCACAAGTGTTCCCACAAATAAATTCGTGTTCGCGCTCGGGTGTGGGTTGTTGCGCTTATTCGCCTTTCTGTTTCTCGATGCGTGCCTACATTGGCGTGTGAGAATGAGGACATTAGAATGCTTGTTGAGTCGCTTAAAAGTTCGTGTTTTTGTTGTTTTGGACTCCTTGAAATGGCATTTTAACGCGTTTGAAGCTGTTGGAGTTTGGAGAGCGGGGGCTGCTGCCACTGCCTGCCTGTCTGCAGGCCGCGCTGCTGTTTTTGGTGCCAGCCTTTGCCCTTCAAAGCGCTTTAATGCGCATCTTCAGACTCCGATCGGTGGAGAGTCTTCTCCGTTAGTTGCTGCTTCCCGTCGGCCCTTTCTTCCCCACACTTTTTGCCTTTTGCAGTGTACAGCCACCTCAGCGCAGCAAAATCCGCAGCAGAATGGCTGTATGTTTTCTGCACTGTCTGCCCTGCAGACTTGGTCCCCGAGGGGCTGCGGCCGCTGCAGCAAACCTACTTGGGGCTGCTGCAGCGGCGGCAGCCAGCCCTCATGGCTGCTTGGAAGCGCCGCGCCCGCGACCCCCGCTACAAAGAAGCTGTGGCAGATGCAGCAGCAGCAGGAGCAGCAGCAACAAGCCGCGCCGTGGTGCAGCTGTGGAAGGAGCTTTCGAATGAGTCGGGAGCAGCTAACCCAGCAAAGATGCAAACGTGGGCCCAGCAGGTCGCCGCCAAGCAGCAGCAGCAGCAGCAGCAGCTACGGCTGCAGCAGCAGCAGAAGCGCTTTCACTGCTACGCAGCAGCAGCAGCAGCAGCAGCACCGCGACAGTCGCTGCCTCGTAACGTGTGACACTCAGCAGCAGCTGCCGCTGCAGCGGTGGTTGCGCCGCTTGGCAGCAGCTCGTCGGGCTCAATTCTCTCGCCACAATGTTGACTAATCTGCTCCTTCAGTTGGCAGCAGCAGCAGCAGCAGCAGCAGCAGCAGACAGCAGCAGACTTGGCGTTGTTCAGTCCAGCTGTACGTACAGCTCAGCCAGCCACTAAAGCCTTTCCCCCGAAATGAGCTGACAGCAGCAAAACCCCTCGTTGCTGCTGCAGTGCAAATTGGCCCCGCAGCTTTCTCTACCTCCACGGAGGCTGGCTGGTGCCAAAAGCCCCAGCCGGGGCTGTGCTGCTGCGCAGGGCCTGCGCCGGGCCAGCTGCAGCAGGGGGGGGTGCTGCTGCTGCAGCTGCTGGCGCAGCACGCGGCATTGCGCCACTGTGCTGGCCGTCTGCAGCAGCAGCTCGGCTGCCTGCTGCTGCTGCAGCAGCAGCAGCATGCCTTTCCTCTGGGCTTTCCAGCAGCACGAGCTCGCCTTTGTACTTCGACAGCAGCACTTCGGTGGTGTATCTCTCTTGGCCGTCAGAAGCCACCCAGCGCCGCGTCTGCAGCGACCCGTCTACATACAGCCGGCGGCCTTTGCTGCAGAGAAACACCAATTCAAGCAGCAGCACTCAAGAAGTGCAGCAAAACAAGGCCCAGCAGAAGTAGTATAAACGCACATTGCCATTAACAAGATGCAAATGTGCGGAATCGGGCCGCAGACGCAATCCAGCCACTTTCAGTGCAAAAGATCAGGTGTATAGGCACCTCCTGATTGCGCTGCTTGGGACGCAAGCACTTGGCAGTCATTTTTGAATTATAACTGCAAAGTAATTAATTTCATAGTGTAATGGCTTTGTTTACTGGGCTCGAGGGCCTATTTACGGCCGCAAGCCTGACAATTCAGTCAACACTTCATTTCCAGTTCGTGATACTTGCACATCGGAAAATGAAGAAAGCGAAAAATGAACTCAAGAATGGCTTCCTTATACCGAATTCAGCCGCCTTATTCGGCTATTTTAATTATTCAACTATTTTAGATTAGCACTAGTCTTAGTTCATGTTCAGACATGCAACTGCTACTCACTGCACATAAGCCTCCACAAGGTCCACGAGGCCTCTGTCGAACACCACCACGCGGTGCCACTCCGTGCGGCTCCTGACTTCCCCAGTAGTCTGCAAGTCAGCACAAATCAAAAGAAAAAAAAGGCAGAAGAGAGAAATAGCTGGCGGAGCATTTTGCTAGCGTGAGCAGCAAAGGAAGCCAGTGCGCAGCGGGAAGCTGCTGCTGCTGCTGCCGCTCTTCCCTGGCCAGCAGCCCGCAGCAGAAGAAACGGGCAGCAGCAGAAAGCAAACATGGCGAGCTCTGCTGTGCATCTGACTCTTCGCTGCTGCTGCTGTTGCTGCTGCTGTTGCTGCTGCTGCTGCTGTGCGCATTCCCCAGGCACTGTGTGAGGCACCATTAAACGTGTGGCTCTATCCGCGCAAATGCTGCCCCAATTAATTATACATTTTAGCGTAGAGGGTTGCACAATGTGTGCAGCAGTACGATATAGCGTAAAGCAGCAGCAGCAGCAGCAGCAGCAGCAGGAAGGCGCCGCTGCTCTCTGATAGCTCCTGCTTGCCTATCCTGGCATCCTATCTGTGCCCTTGCAGTGCCTAACAGATAAATACTATTTATACTTATGGACTGCACATATCTGTTATACATCTATATCCATTTATCCATTTATTACATTTAAAATATGTATATATAATATATATATATTTCCGAAATATGTATATAATATATTTCTGTAGCCAGAAAGGCTTTGTGTCTTATCTATGGCGTTCCCACTAGTGCTCCCCGCTTGTCAGTGTGCGTGGCTTTCCCCTATCTATCTGGCTCTGCTGCTGCTGCTGCTGCTGCTGCTGCTCCTG